AACAGGAAGTAAACACAAGGGGAGCTATTAATGAGGATTGTAAGTTACGAAAACATAAAGAAACATTTGGTCAGGCTTCTTTTAAATAAAAATATTACCTGATTTTAACATTTTTAATGCAAAAGCAAAATTATGACTTAAAGAAAAGCAAATCTGTGATCCCTGAAATGGCTTTTCTGTCATTCTTAATTGTTTTTCTTAAATGTTTCTATTTATTTGTAGTCGTTGCTGTTACTGTTATTATTTATTATTATTGCTGTCATTGTTTTTGTTGTTAAGGTCTTCTAACTCTAACCAAGGTCAAGGTTGCAAAGTACATAGGACTTCTAGTATCAGTTGCATTTTGTTTAACTGCAGCGATGTATCGTCACTGTTGTATAAACAAATACGTTTAAAAAAAATAGAAAGGTATAAAATAGGCAATTAGTGGTTTTACACTATGAAGTCATTCAGCCTGGGTGCTGTGACCAAGAAGGATTAGCAGAGATGAACGTTGCCTTCAGATTCGGTAGATAACTCGGATTCTGCAGTGCGGCGTGCAGACTGAGGGATTAAAATTAATGCCTTAGTTTACTGCAGTTAATCAATCTGAGCAAACGTTAGCTGAATTTTTTGCATTTTGTCACTCATCTGAGTGACTGCTTCAGACTTTGCTAACTGCAGGTTTGCTCAAACTTATAAACAGCACATTGGCATAACGACTGAAACTTGTACGGTTTCCTAACAATAGGGTGCTAAATGTCATGACCATCGATCACTGGCCATGAATATCGTTTCACTGAGAGTTGTAAGCGTTGTAAGATGGTGATAGGTGTACCCCTACGTCCATCCTTGGTTGAGAGATGGTCTTTCCCTTTTCTTCTTCTTTCTCATTTCATTGTATTTTGCTTCCATGGAGACGTCCATTGAATTATTTTTCAAGGGGTTTTGCACAATCGTTTTTCAGGCTTTCTGAAGGTTTTTCAAAATCTTTGTTGGATATTAGCTGCTTTTTCACCCACGTTTTGTCCTGTCCTTGCACCTGATCATTTTCAAAGGAATGATATGATTCATTAAAAAATCAAATCAAAAAAGTAGAAAAAATTTAATTAAAACTAAATCAACGGATGAATGAGTGTTGTGTGTACAGAAAACTTCACAAAGATCCAGTTTTACTCCGTCTTCAAGCATTTTGTTGCAAGGAGCTTTTCACAAATTTGTTTCCATTTCATATTTTCTTTGAAAAATGCCAAAGATAACAGTTTGACAGGCATAAAATGGTACTTTTTGTAAACTTGGCATATCTCAGGATTGTCTGCAGTGTGTGTAGGAAAGTGGACAAATGGAGCACAAGAGAGGAAGTGACGGGCCAACAAAACAACCTCCACAGCATGTGTTATATCTGAAAGTCATATCCAAATCCAGCAAAGACCTTAACACAGGACCTGAGATGCATTTGAGACAGGAATACTAAATTGCACAAGAACTGGACTAAGAATCAGTGACGAGGTTTTATATGCAGTAAGTTTCTGTGGCCACTCTAAAAAAAAAGATGGAGGCTCTTGCATAGAAAAAAAGGAAGACAACATTCGAAGAAGAGCTTTAAATGTCCTTCAAGAAGCCTAAAGAAAGATTCCCGAAGACTAGTTAAAGAAATTAAGACAGTTGAAGCTATGTTGAAGAATAATGGTATTGACTTTGAAGCTATCAGAAAGTTAGAATGTCCCTTATGTACTTATTTACTGTATTTACATGGTATGTTTGCACCT